TATCAATTCACGAACGGATGCCTTTGTGGTATCGAGACCCTCGCCTAGGGTATTCATAGCCTCACTCATACTTCGGACTTGAACATCGAGATTATCGATCTTGTCCTTCATCTCCTTGTTAGTCATGGATTTCTTCTCTTTGTTTCTAGGACTCTTGTTGAAGATGATATATATATATATATATGTATATTTATTTATATATATATATATATATTTTGATAAGAGGGGGGACGAAAAAAAGAAGAAGAAAAAGAAAGGGAATGGGATAGAAGAAAAACACACAATCAAAACCTCTCAACGAAAGCACCAATGATAAGGATCGTGTGTTTCGACTGCCGATAAGCCGCTAACCCGCGCCTTGAATCGCCGATAGGTGTTCTTCGAGCCACAACAGCGCCTCTAGGAACGAATAAAATTGCAATAGTATTTTGGTGAAAGACTAAAGCAAAGTTGGAAGAACAAAGTTCTAGATTTCTATTGATTTCTTGGATGATTAAAAATAACATAGGGATGGGGCCTTTATATAGGCACAAATTAATATCTAAGCCTAATCTACCTAGGGATCAAATAAAGCAATAAAATATTAAGTGTCCTAATTATAATACTAGTTGGAAACTAATTGTCTTGTTGTGCACTCCAAGTCTTCCAACCGCCTCATGCCTTCGGCCCTTGGCGCGCACCGCCTTTGGCGCACCGCCTCGCACGCCCTAGTCCTTGAGGACTAGGGCACCGCCTTCCTCCTCCGCGCGTGCACGCCCTCCCAGCGTGTCGCACACGGCTATGCCGCTGGCCGCCTTACCGTGCACGTGCTGCTCCGCCACTCCGCATTCCGCTAGGAGTATGGTCTCGCGCATCGTGCGTGCTCCCCCATCCAACGTATCGCGCGTGCTTTCGCCCCCGGCTGCCTCCTCGCGTGCGTGCCTTCCCACCATTACGCACAATTCGAGGTATGAGGATGCGCGTGCTTCCTCGCCACGCGAACCTTCCGCGATCGCGCTGGCCAGCACCGCGGCCTGCGCGTCCTGCCCACTTTCGCCATGCACGCCATCCGTGCGCACCGATCGCATATCCATGTGTGGCCCATTCTCACCTGTTAATGTGCGTACTTCCGCCGTCAACCGTGCTTGTCTCCTGCGTGCATGGTAGGCTCGACTTGCGACGTTCTTGAGCTGCCTAGCTACTTCCGCATCACCGCGCCCAGCGCGCAGCACAGCGCCCCAGCGCCCGCAGCACAGCGCCCCAGTGCCTTTGACCTGTTTGACTTTGTTTTGTGTGCTAAGTCTATGTGTCGTGTTTATATGCATTTTTTGTCAAGTCTAAGCGTTAGGCCCGAATGTTCCAATGTCCATGGAACTTCACGAACTACTTGGTTGAATCAAGTTCAACCAATGTATCTTTGTGATTGTTCTCTAAGGTCAAGTAGGTGTTGATCTTAGTATATAATTATTGTAGGTGTTTGACGAGTCGTGCTTGCTGGTGTGCCATTTTCCTTTGTTGTACCAAGTGGGTTTTAATCTAAAATTTGCTATGTCGTATGTGTTTATTATAATGTTGATTTGGTATGATTTTAGTATGTACGTAAACCATGTAGCCTATCGGCACGAGCCGATTCGGCCGTCGGTACAGTTGTCCCTGTCGATGTAATACGATTACCTTGCGAGGTAAGTCTCCGTAAGACCTAATGAAAGGCCTGCCTTGTCGTATGGCACGTACCCCCATGAGTTAGGGTAATGAATCCCCATTCCTTGGCTAATGAAAGATGTGTACACGTGGGTATTATGTTGTGATGTGATTAGAAGACGTGACAAAATAATTGTTTTATGTTCATACGGTAACCATACCTTCTCTTCATTATTTATGTTGTGATATATGTGCATAGTGGTGAGCACGGTTTTCATCTTGTGCTCATCCCCACCTGCTCTTCACGGATGCAGGTTAAGCAGGATCAGGGTGACGAGGAGAGGTGTAATATCCCATTCAGTTAAGTATCAGTTTATCTTCAAAATTGAGATATTTTGAGGGTAACTAAGTTAAGAAATTGAAGTTTTTAAGTCACACGGGTCGTGTGACAAGTCACACGAGTTGTGTGACTCAAAGTATCATTCAAATTATGTTTCGAACTTGTCACACGAGTCGTGTGACCAAGTCACACGAGTCGTGTGAGCTCACACAAGTCGTGTGACCGACAGAAATGATCAGATTGTCATTAATGCATTTTTGGTGGCAACTAAAGTTATTTTTGAGCATTAAATTAAGAAAATCTGAGGTGTAAATGTTAGGTAAGGATATATTTAAATTGATTAATTTTTACAAGTTTAAATTGTTTAATTTGTTAATTTCTACACTTCAAATAAATTATTCCAAAATTTTGGCTATAAATAGGGCCTTTAGAATCTGAAATTTTCACACCAAAAATATTTCCAAGTTATATAAGTGCTTAAGGAGTAATAATTATAGTAGAGTGATAATTATAGTAGAGGGAGGAAATTTTGAAGTGGAAGGAAGATATTTTCAAGAGCAAGTCCTTGAAGGAGGTAATTCACTTATGTGAAAATTCATGCTCATATTAAATAAAATGGTCATCTTGATTTCATGTTAAATAAGTTGTTAGTATGCATGTTTAAGTGTTATGATTGTTATGTTGAGTTCAAGTTGTTATATTTTTTAATGATATAAGGATTATTTAGTAAGATTTTTGATAGAATTGAGATTTTGATATAATTTGAAGATAGTATGCAAATTGATATTATGATATTAAGATGAGAAATGATTAAGTGGTGTATATGATTTATTTCATGTCAAAATTTTTAAGAGTAATAAGATATTTATGATGAGTAAGTTGATAAAAGTATAAAATGTTAGAACACTCATGATAATTGATATACAATTTTATAAATTGTTTAAGTTTTGGTGTTATGATTTAAAATTGAGTCTTATGAATATCAATTAAGACAAGTTTAGTAAGTTATAATTCATGAGGATGATGTTGGTAAAGGATAAGTACATTTGAGTTATGTATAATTTGATGCCAACATCTAAGTGTTATCAAGTATGATTAATATGAGTTATGGCATTGAATAAAAGTTGAAAAGATTTAAAGTTATTCAATGATTTTATTTGAGAAATAGCATGTTTATGATTCGGATAAGTTATAAGTTAACAGTTAAAGTTAAGAATCTCAGTATCTTATTGAGTATTCGAGCATAGTACTTAGTATATTTGTTTATATTTTTATGAAGCGTTACAAGTCGGCTACGAGAACAACACTTACAAACAATTTTTCAAGAAGAAAGGTGGGGACCCAGACTGGGTATTACATTGAGTATAATAGCTATTATCATGTTCAAGGTATGTATAAAGTTAAGTAAAGTATTAAGCTCGCTCAGTCAAGACTGGGTTCTGTGGGAGGCGACCCCCAGAATGTGATCACGTGAGAACCGGCCCAATTTACCGGTAGTTGCAAAGTTCAAGTTAAAGTATCGGTTAGATACCGAAAGATTAAGCTTAGATACATACCAAAGATCATGATATTGATATTATTATTGTTGTTTACTTTAGTATGGGTATTCACGGAGTACAGTTGATTAGTACTCACGCCCCACTATTATCATTTTTTTCAGGAAATAAAGACGGTGCGCAGGTGTGAGGAGCTGTGGTGGTCGTGGATGAATAAGTTTTTATTGAGAATTTTCAATAAGGTTTCGGTTTGTAAACCACGCTTGTAAGACCTCCGCTACGTTTCTTTAAGATTTGAAAAAGTGTGATTTTAAGTGTGATTTTAAAGGTTGATTTATCAAGTTGATTGTATGAACTGTTAAGTTTTTATATTTGTTCAATGTTTAAAATCTGTTTTATTTATGTCTAATTTAGCTGTTAGATGAAGTTTAAGTAAACAGATTTTTAAAGTAGATAAGTTAGTAGCATCCCGAGTTAAGAAGGTTTCGAAAAATTTATAAGTATTTTCAAAATAAGTTGCGAAAAATTTACTTTTATAAGCGGGGTGTTACAGTTGGTATCAGAGCTAAAGTTCAAATGCTCTGTATACTAAAAGATTAAGTTTTGGAAAGAAAGTTTCAAGAAAAACCGACCACACCACACTCACACCTCGCCAATTATCAGGTAAGTGTTGTTAAAATTTTCTTTATTATGAATTTTAAATATATGCAAATTACTAAGTCTATGCTCAATAAGATATCCGAATTTTATGAATCAGATTATATGCTCAACAAATACATAAGTATATATATATTTTCTTAGGGTATTAAAAATTTATCTTTTATGATAAATTTTAGATAGCACCCCAAGCTCGAAAAGAGATGACAACATCAGAAGTCGTTACTCAATTTCGTGGATACAATCCTGAGAAATTCTCAGGACAAGGAGATCCTCGTCTAGTGGAGGAGTGG